ATTAATCTCCAGAACATAAGAAAAGGAGAAATTCCATTGATCCCTCTCAACAACTTATTCATCTTTATTCATATCAACTCTCATTTGATCACAATAATGTTATGTAATCTACATCGAACTTAACTAAAATGGTCTGTAACACTGCCAAACTAAAGCATTCATTAAATTATTCTCACATCAATCGGAATCTTTTCAATACTTACGATAATGTCTTGTTACGTTAAATGCCACTCAGAACCTAGTTCAATTTTTCAAAGTACAGTTCATACTTATATAAACCACAACAAGGAATGAAACTTCAACATATGTAAACGCACAACTCCACAACCATAGGCAAAACCCAGATCCTCACAGTTCCTAACATTTCACCAAACAGTTGATAAAAAAACACATAAATTAAAAACGAAATCCTCAAATAACAAACGGACAAACAAACAAACCAACCTCTCACAAGCATCTTCGAGTGACGCAAATGGGCACTTGAAATCCGGGTGGCAGACCCGTCAGGCATCCTGGTATGCCATCTGGAGCTCCATTTGGTTCAGCGGCCTCATCCCTTTCTGTTGTTGTTGTGGCTGTAGTGAATTTCGCTGATTCTGTAGCTGCAAATTAAATTAGCATTGGCATTAACATTGGGATTAGGGTTAGGGTTTTGTTGTTGAAGAGTGATGGGACGATGGACGCCAGGTGGGCGAAGGTGGGAATCGATGTTAGAAGCGAGAGATAGCTGCCTGTTGTTGTTGTTGTTGTTGAGCTTCTTGTTGCTGGTGATTGAAAAGAAGTTGCTGCTGGTGTTGAGCCATAAGCCATAGGCCTTAGCTTCTTCCATTTCTCTAACTCTCTTCTCTCTCTTCTTCTTTCAGAAGAGTGGATCGTTTCATATAGATCGCACAATGAAATTTAACATTTTCATGCTGATTGATACCAACAAAACCCAAATTTTCACCCTTTAATAAAAAGAAAAATATTTAAAAAAAAATACCAAACAATTTAAATTGAACAAAAATGAAATTCGATAGGGTTGCCGGAAATTAGATCAATTGTTTCGAAATCGGCACCGCCGTTTGAAACATTAAAGCAATAGATAATAGATCACTACTTTCAGAAGAAGAAACAAATACGTATAAATCCATTAAAGATCGTCAAATTAGATAGAAATTTGGCTTTTTACCTAAACAAGATAACATAAAGATGAATTGCTGGATAATTGAAGATTGATTATAATGAACAAATGAAGTAATTTGAACACTCACCTGAAATCGAAGACGGTATGATCGAGGACTAGCGCCGCTGCGAACGATACAATGATCGACAGTGTCGATTCGAAGATGAGATGTGAGGGAAAGGCGGATAGCGCAGAAGATTATGAATTAATTACATTATTACCCCTTATGTTTCAGAATTCTTTAACCATCTTCAATGTTTTTAAAAACAGTCAAAAACTACCTGAGAAGTGAGAAGTGAGAAGTGAGGCCTTAGGCAGTTCAAAACAGATTAATAGTGGAAGGTTAAAATGGGTAAATCATATTTGAAGGGGTAAAAATGAAATTTGATAGTGAATTTGTGAAAAAACTTGTCTTATCTAAACACAGAAGTGAGAAGAGAGGCCGTAGGCAGTTCAAAGCAGATTAATAGTGGAAGGTTAAAATGGGTAAATCATATTTGAAGGGGTAAAAATGAAATTTGATAGTGAATTTGTGAAAAAACTTGTCTTATCTAAACACAGTACTTATGTTGTTGAACTCCTCTTATTCTATTAAGTAATATTGTATTTATAAAGACTTTATATAAAGTCATCTATATAAAGTGATGTAATATTATTCTTGTTTTATCATTTAATGTGAATTTATTAAATTATTTTTTTTATTAATTTGTCTAATTCACTTTATAAGAAAAATTTTGTATAGAATATTTGTAAATATAATATTATTTTTTATGATTAAAATTGACAATTTTAAGAACGATGATAGGAAAGGGTTTGGCGACCTTCATCTCTTCTCCGATCTCTATTACCATATCATCCCTTCCAACCAGGGCCCTAACCCCAAGATTTTAGGAGCAGGGGCGTGAGTGGGCATTCCCAAAAGGAGAAAAACAAAAATATAAAAATATAAAAATTATTTTATATTTTAATATATTACATATTTTTTATTGGGATTGGTAATTGTCTTGCTTGTTTTAACATTTTCCTACCTTCACCTCGTCTTGATTCCGAAGGTATAGTTTTTTCCATACCGACCTTCGACCATAGACTTTTCGAGGGATACCTACCCAATAGGACCGCATTTTTCTAGGTATTCAACCTTCATTGGGTTTTCATGACAACCACACTCACCACCAAGAGTACCGAAAAGTGTCTACTAATTAGTAATTACTATTTGTATTTTTATTAATTTTTTTGCATCTTGAAGGTTAATTGAATTCCTTTTCTACTTAGAATTGTGGTTTGTTATAAATACACACAAGAAATCTACACAATAGACCATTTTCAACTTTAATTTTAAGAGTTTGATTTCTCTCTAAGGTTTCATTGAATAACAAATTTTCCCCTCAAGTATTTGAAATAAAAAATTTAACCCTTCTTATCAATGTTCCGTTAAGGCTTCTATGTGTAATTTAACAAATCAAGGGTAATATGTGTTTGTCAAGCAATAAAAACCCTAACAAAACATTGATGGAATTGAGTTTATTGTTATTTCAAATGCTTGAAGGGGAAATAATTATTCAGTGAAACCTTAGGGGAAAGATTACTTTAAGCTTTAATTTTAATTATATTTTAAATTTTTAACCTAATCATATGTTCTATGCACTTGCGAAATATTGAAACCTTAGGGGAGGTCTACGTAATTAATTCTCAATCTTTTAAAATTGCAATAGCTTTTTAGGTGATTTGTGTCAAATTATTTTTTTAAATTACTTTCCCGCTATGGTATTTTAGTTTTGACAAAAAATTGTAACATTTATTAGTTTCGGGGACTACTTTACTAATAAAAAAAAAAAAAAAGAATGCATCATGAATTGCACTGGACACAAAAACTAGAGACCACAACAATCGTCTTCATTGTATAGAATAACTATCATCTGATAAAAGAGATACTTCTAACGTGTTTGATTGAGTTTATCTATAAACCAACAACTTTTTTTAAAGCTATAAACATTTTTGAAATTTTTATAAATTGTTTGATTGCATTTCAAAAGCGTTTATAGGATTTAAAATTAGCTTTTTTTGAGTTTAATTAAAATGTTAAAAATTTAAAATATCCTTTTCCCCTTATTATATTTTATAAATTTGACTTAATATATTTTTACATATTAGATCTCTTTTTAGTAAATTAATACAAATTAATACGAGAAAGCACTTTTAAATTTTCCAATCAAACAACAAATAACTTATTCATAATAGCTATATTTTGTAAGCTCTACCAAATGACCCCTTTCTCAAATGAAAAGGAAGGAAAAGAAATGAAAGTGACAATTATCTCGATTTACTTTAGATAGATGATATAAAAAGATAAAATGGGTATTTAATTATTTTAATTCTATATCAAATTAATTAATTAAACGAAACATTAATATATCACTGACAACAAAGTTTTCAATATTTTCTAAAAGCATTAAATGACAATACAATTAAATGATCTCAAGAATCATATGAAAATTGCTACATTTTCTGATATCCACAAGTTCTAAATAAGCTAATCGCAGATGAGATATTACAAGAACAACAACTATAGTAAAATTTTCTCCCTTTACATCTAGCACGATGCTCTTCAGATTCATCGTCGAATATTGTCGGTAGCTTCGCAACATTATAAATTCTACTATAGTTAATTTCGACTTTGAAAATGCTGCCAACATCAATAAGTTGAGTAGTTTTGCATGGATTATAGTTAGGAGACCGAGCAGTACTATTCACTTGATTTCAGTGAGTCGAGAGATTTCTCACCTCCATCCCATCTGCAATTATGTCACTGAACCGAGTGAGGTTTACCGGAGAGAGCAGCGGGTCAACTCTAGAGCTAATATAAATTGCATTCTCAGATTGGCTATTCTTTTTGCTGTAACTTCTTGTAGATGAGGATGTATCAATATCTTTGTTCAAAAAGCAGTTTCTCATGTCCTTAAAATCCCAATCAGTCAAATATCTTGGCTTCGAAGTAACAGTTCCCACTTCTACGTCTCCAGCGAGCATGCTAAGAATGCGTGACATGGTAGCCTGGTGATGCTTGAGTGCAAAAGAGAGCAACTGCTGTTACTCAAACGACTTTGATTTCATTGAACTCTGTTAATTTGGGATCTATCAACCCCAAACTTTTGTTACTTTCATGAAGACTCCAAGCCTGGAAATAGCATATAGACAATTCAAAAGAAATGTATTTTTCTTGACTATGGATCATAAAAGAAAGCAAACAAAACAAAACAAAATTCAAATTTATTTCCTTACCCATTCAAGAAGATAAATCTTTTCATTATCCAAGCTAGTATCAGAGTTTGCTCTTCCACTGATAATCTCCAAAGCAACAACAATACTTACGCACTGCAGACTCCGGTGCCAGATAACCACTGCAAGATAATTAAGTGTTTCTCATGGTTGACATCCAAAAGTCAAGTCTCGATATTGCCATCAAACTGAATTTAATGATCAACCGTATCCCATGTGCCCACTCACCATAGCAATGTGAAAACCTATAACATTTAGCAAATCTTGAATAATAACAAAACAATACAATCACAAATCTAGTGCCCTCCAAAGATTTTACGTCAATCACTATGTGACAATCAAAGATAACACAAATAGTTCTCTCAACATACATGTATTGCTCTCAGTCATTTTTATCAATACATGTATGTTGAGTTTTTGAAATACTATACAACAAAATCTACTAGGTATTGTTGATAACTTCCAAGATAGCGCGTATAGCTTACATCATATAATACTCTGCAAGACATTACAAGTATTAAGGAAGAACGGCAGTCAAAAAATGATTGAAGGAGCTTATGTGGTCCCTGCAACTCTTCTGCTGATGTGAGTTTACGTGTTATCATATGGCTCTGCCAATCCAAAATCTGATATCTTGGGGTAGAGTTTTGCATCGAGTAAAATATTATTTGCTTTGACATCTCGATGTATAATATTCTTTGGCCTTGAATCCTTGTGACGATATGCTAGACCTCTCACAATTCCTAAGCATATATTGAACTGGGTAGGCCAATCAAGTTGCAAATCCTTTTTTCCTACAAAAATGGCTACAATCATTAAGATCTTCAAGAGTTACTGATTTGGAGAATTGAGGATTCAGGAACAATGTATCCCCAGGAACGATTGGTGCTTATTAAAACATTGTGAATCCTGCTCTACTTGTTGCTTGCTCTTATTAGTTTGGCCAGCAAATTTTGTAGTTTGTGCCTTCTTTAGAGACCCGATTGTCACTAAACACATTTAACAGTGCATGATAAATGTTTCATCCTTTAACCTTAGATGGTTTAAACATTTGAAAGCAATATTGTATTTTATACAACAAGGTAAATCACAAGAAAGATATCATATCAATTGCACAAATGTCACAGCTACTCGCAAGAAAAGAAAAGTAGAAAATTTTTAAACTAAGGTTGATCTTCATACCAAACAATACTTGATAAAGGCTTTTGTTTTCAAGGTATTTATAAACAAGGAGAAGCCTCGTTCCCTCGATGCAGCAACCATGCAACTTCACAGGATTGTGATGTTGTACTGTAGTTATGGTAGCAATCTCATTAACAAACTTATTTTTTCCTTGGTGGGAACCTAGTGTGACATTTCACAAGCATTTCATCGTGACACTAGTGAAAGTTGCTTCACAGCTATCACCCTTCTATCAGAAAGCATACCTTGCACCAGATTTCATAACATAAATCATGTCTGCTCCATCCTTGGCGAGTATCCAAGGTAAAATTCACCTAGGTTTTTTTGTTATATTGTCAAGCTATCATCAAACCTTACATACACTACACAGCAAGCCAAATTCCCAATATATTATCTATTATTTCTTACTTGTAAATGTAGGATATAAAAGATATATTGTACATAGGTCCGAATCCTCCCTCGCCTAGCTTATTTGGAGGGTTGAAGTCTTTTGTTGCAAATCTCAACTCAACATAACTGAAAGTTTTTGGCTTAGGACCTATTCCAAGTAACACTGGATATTGAAGCAAGATATAAGATTACATAACATTGAAGGCTTTGCATGACAAGAGATGAATTATACCAGCAGCTTTGCCTATTTCAAGGAATATACTATTCCAATTTTTGGAAGCAAAGCTCAAATATCATGACCGTTATAAACAATGAGATAATTTAAATCTAGTATCCATGTTCTTAGGTGAACTAGAACAAAGTTCAAACTTCAAACTTCACCTATATTGTGGCATGCTAAAGTAAAACGAAAATTCATTGATTTTCAAATACAAACTCGGTTTCAGAGATTCTACCTTCTGCAAGAGCCACTGCAATACAAACAATCAGCGAAGTCTGGTTCTTCTTTCATGCAATACCAACAGTTGGTGTGAAATCTAAGTAAGAAAATTCAGTTATTGTATATCATAAAGAAGCATAGAAGCACATTTATTATAACTCATCTTAAATAAAGAGTCAAAGGAATCACATACTTCACTTGGAATGACACTAAGAGCTGAAATTAATGGCCCATAGCTACCTCTAATAGGTATGCTGTAGGTCCCTTTACTAGCCCAAACTAGGTGAATTTCAAGATAGTTCTCAGTTACCATAGCATTAAATTTTTCTGTAATTGCTCTTCTATGCCCACCTGCCTTCTTTGATATGTCAAAATCCTTTGACCGGAGGGTTACCTACAGGAAGGATTATGAGTGATAGAATTCCAAATTCTTAGGATACAAGTAAATAGATGGAAATGTAATAATAGGATCTGTGTATGATGGTTATGAACCATAATTTTCTAGAGAATTTTTACCTGAATATAGATATCAAAAACACGCCTTCCACAACTCTTCCACGTTAGTGAGCCTTGATCACTAAAAGTTGTCTCAGCAAAGGACAAGCTCACATTGTAAGGTCCATTCTCAAGACTACGTCCATAGTATCTAAGTGATCCAGGGGAATGCCTTGAAATGCGATAAAGCTCCGGGATTGTGGTGCCAATCACTTGAGAGCTAGTATTTTGAACATGGGTATTAGATTGTCCATCAAGATACCAACCCACATCACTAACTGCCGATTTTTCTGTATCAAGTACAACAAAAGAAGCTCCACCAAGATCATAGTCATCAGCCTCGTACACTATCTTATCAACTTTCAGCACATCACCACAACCACACTTGATTGCAAAACTTGAATCTGTAATTGCAAAGATAAAAGTTCTGGTGAAAATTGTTATCTGAAAATCCTACACCAAATATTTAGATAAAATTGATGGAGTACTTTCATTTAGTAACTTCCAGCAACTTAAAAAGCTCATGATACATACATTTAACAGACATAGATATTGAAGGAGAACTATCTATTTGAAAGTTAAATGCCTATGCATGGTTTCCCATTCTTTTTTTTTTTTTAATTTTTATATTTTGTTGATACCCATGAATTCCTTGACCTTTCTCATGAGTTCATTGGGTTCAAAAGTAGGGACTAATGCCAAATCCTACAACTTTGCACTTTAGAAACTTGTTTAAACTTTGCATGCAAGCTGAAAGTCAGGGGTCTTTAGTCCCTCAACCGCACCCTTAGGGTTCATACTGCTCATTTTTCTAACAAAGGTCAATAATAAACTAAAACAAATTAAGTCAGAATTCAGATGGCTATTTATAATGGCCTAAACTAAATATCAACAATTAACACATTCACTTTATCACGAGCAAGAGCTTTGCCGCACCTTGTGAAATTTTCTTCAAACCTCTTTTACTAATCACAAATATCAACAGTTAAATCTAACAGGGCTTTCTTAAGAATAGGGGAGCTGAAATAGAATTTCAAATTTGTATGCAACAGTAACACAAGCTAGCCTCACTTCTTCCTCTTACTGAAAATTTTTTATCTGACATTCAGAAGCATGGTCTTTACATATAAAGCATCAAAATGCAATACCAAGATNACTAATCACAAATATCAACAGTTAAATCTAACAGGGCTTTCTTAAGAATAGGGGAGCTGAAATAGAATTTCAAATTTGTATGCAACAGTAACACAAGCTAGCCTCACTTCTTCCTCTTACTGAAAATTTTTTATCTGACATTCAGAAGCATGGTCTTTACATATAAAGCATCAAAATGCAATACCAAGATATAAGCAAAGAAGTTTAACTTTAGCTAGGAAAAGGGCAAGGGTCTACTTATTACAATTGGAGAATAAGTAACAATACAATTTAGAAAACCACAGAAGCATCTATACTAAAGGAAACAACAGAGAAAGAAAGGAAAAATGGCAGTACACTAAAGTATAGAAAAAGAATTAACCAGCAAAAAGAAAGCAGCTTACACCATGGAACATTCCTACTGCAAGGGAAGTTTCTTTGAAGACAGTTCAATCCAGGAATAATACTGGCAAACACAGAGAACATTACCAGTTTTCTTTGTTAAAGTAGCATATTCCTTTGCTGAGGTTTTATTTATTTATTTTTTTAAGAAAGTGAATTTTTTCGAAAACCAAATCTGACATTTTATTTATCAGAAAAGGAACTATAACACACTTGATATTTGAGCTATCAAATGTGAAATTGTTGCCCACTAGACTCTTGTGCAATTCAATGCAAAGATCAAGTATAGTAGTTTGAAGTATACTAACTAGAAATGAGCTCTGCCTTTATGGTACCCCAAATGGTTACTCCAAGTGACATTTGTTTAGACATAGGAAATTATAAGCGCATCAAGGTAATTAGTAGTGTACTATTAACTGTTTCTTTTTTTGGGTAAACTAGTGTTCTATTAACTATTTCTAATGATTGTCACATGATAATACAAAACACATTAACTAAAGTGACATGTGTTGGCCATGAAGATGAGTGCCCAATAGATTCTCATGCAATCATCTACTTTTCTCTTGAATCAGGTTCAAATATGATTTTGAATTTTGATAAACATAGTATGCAGTGCATTGAATCATATGACACTTTATTTTTATCTTAAGATTTCCATTTTTTCTTATAGGATAAAGAGTGTTAACGATAATCAGTTTCAGAATAAAAACAATATGATCATCTTACAGTCATTCGACTAAAAATACACTATTAACATAGGATAGAATTAAAAAAGGGAGAAAATGAGAGCAGGAAATAGATAGAATGAGAGGAAAATTTGAAACAATGGGAAGCTAAAGAGAAACAATTTATTCATCATATTGTTTCTTTCATGAGTCTGCAAACCAAAGACAAGACAACAAGCCTATTTATAATGGCCTAAACAAAACAAAATGCTAGAAATCTACCTATAATAAGTCATTCAAATTGTATTCAAAGTGGAAAAACTAATATATAATATCTAAATCTAACTTAAAAAGGAAATCTCTCCAAGTTCCCAAAATAAAATCTTTCCTTAAGTAACAATATTATTCCCATTCTTGATTCAGCATCAGCCACTCTAAGCAATGGCATAGAAGAAAAGAGAAAAAATTAAAGAAAAAGGAGAAAGTTTGCAAATCTTACAGAAAATTAAGTTCTTAAGGTGTCCAAGCTCTTTTGGGAGAGGCCTAGAAAGTACATTGTGGCAAACCTCTCTAGCACATGAAAGACAAAATTATAACATAATCAAACTCATATAAAAAAAATAGTCATATACAAACTAAACTAGGCTTTGAATCATAAAGGTATTTTTCAATACTTACAAATACTTCGATTGAGATAAATTTCCAATAAATGCAGGCAAGGGACCAGTGAAGTAATTTCATTTGATTCTACTGCAATGTTAAATAGAAAAACTAAATCAAATCTAATATAATGTCCATTAATTAGAAAACGATGAAGGTGAAATTTAACTTATACAAATCAAAGGCAGGGAAATGAATGGGAAAATCCATACAAATTTGTCATAAATTTCAAAGCCACTAGTTCTCTGGAATTACTCCTTTTATTTTCGGTACAAATACACTTTTGCAAAAAATAAAGACAAGTTTCAATCATATCTCCTCAAATTTGACCTGATTCTAGATGCAGGCTCTTTTGGCTTAGAAAAAATACACACTTAGAGGATAAATTGCAAACACAAATTTAGGGAAAGTTTTAACCAAAAGTTAAGATCCCTCGAAAGCATAATAAATAATCTACACAGTATAGCATAAACTATAAGAAGTTATGAAGAACTCAAAAATCAATGCCAATACCACAAAATTAACCAAAAACCCAATCTCAATCTAAGTGAATATAATTTGTCCATACTTGAACAAAACTTGAAACAAGTTAATATGAAAATTTCCCTAAATTTGGTAGAGAGAAAAAGAGATTACAGCTCATTGATGTGGCAAGTTGAGACATTTTTAAACAAACAGTCACATTTGATAGCAGGATTATAGTCCTCCAAGCTAGTTGCATTTATAGTGGCTCCATTGGGGCTCTCCACTTATGTTCCACCATCTTGGGTCTTCTTGTACAACCCATTATTGAAATATTGAGTTCAATGTCCTCACTGCTCACCACAACAAACCAACCAATGTAAGCTTCCATAACAAGCTATAGAAATGCAAGCACGCTTGCAAGTAATCACACATTTTCATAAAATCAGTGATCTTTGAGGCCATGGATATATCAGAAAGCATTCAAATTACTTTGAATTTTCTCTTTCCCTTGCTGAATATGTGATACTTCTAATTTTAACTTGTAAGCATGTAGTTGCAATTGCAAATCCACCCACCACAAAATGAATTCGTAACCAGTTTTGAGGGAATTTTCAACTTAATATTGTCCCTCTTTATTTGGCTTTCTCCTACACAACTTTTAAACAAAATAGAATATGTTTTGCTAAAGGGGGTTCACTTTAATCGGAAGCTAGCTACCGATAAATTAGTAAAGTCTAATATTTCTTAAACAATTGTATATTCAATAATTAAAACAAATAATTAATTTGTAAAGCAAAATACACACATAAAAGAAAGGGAGAGAGAGAGAGTACCTTCATTAGGGTCAATAATTTGAGCAGTGGAGTTGTGAATTACGAAGAAAAAGATGAAGCAAAAGTGGGAAAACCCTGAAGAAAAAAGTAGAATTTTCACTCTGGAATTCATGTTTGTGTGTTTACATGAGAATGGTTTCCAATTATATTGGCATTTATGTAAAAGCCAATCAATTATTCATGAAAAGACTATAAACTATTCTTCTAATTAATTCTGATTTAAGTTGATTCTCCTGCTATTAATTCCAAATTCCAAACTTCGAACATCAATGCTCAATACACAGAAGAAGTAAAATGAACAATTCCTCCTGTCATTGATAGAATTAGGGTTCAAAATTAGGTTATTTCAATAGAAATTGAAGATAAATTATGAGATTGAAAACCCCACCTGCTTGTCATTTGATTCAAGTTTCTCCTGCATACATATAAAACAATAAAGTTAACAAAGGAACGAGAAACAAGAATCATTAGTTCAAATGTTTTCGAAATTCAGATTAATGATGAAGAAGAAGAGCAATAAATATATCATTAATATTTACCTACTAAATGATGAAGAAGAAGAGAGAGTGATTAGTCATACCTAATTTTTGGTTGGTTTGATAATCTTTCCATCTAGTTTAATCTAAGAGATATGAGCATCTTTGACCATCTTCACCTATTTCGATTCACATCTTTCGCTCAGTTTAGGACAGTCTTCAATTGTTAGTTCTTCAAAGAGATGACGATCCATATCTTTGGGTAAAGATGTCAATTTGGACACTTCTCAATAACAAGAACTTGAAGTTTTTGCATCGACTCGGTAGTGCCTTCAAGTTGGACAATTTACAATTTCAAACATTCCAAAGTGTTAGTGGAACACTGAATAAGCCATTGCGGGAATTCCACCAATTGTGGTAATTCTCTTATACGAAGAAATCGAAGGTGAGGCCATGTGCTACTGAGTTCATCATGATTGTCTTGCTTATCTGATCCTATGCTCAAATCAAGATTAAGCCTTTCACAACTTACAAAATAAGATGTTCTATGAGCTTAGGCTTCTACCCCATGTGGTAATGAAATAAGTCTTGGACATTCAGTATGAATAGAGTTTGAAGACTTTTAGGTAACCAATATCTTCAAACAAATATTCTAAATTATCGCAATTGAAATCCGAAAACCTCGAAGAGAATTCAAGCATCTAATGCCATTGGTGGTAGATGCTTTTCTATCGTAGTTAACACGAGATTTCTAAGACTAATTAAGTACTTACATCTCTTGTTAACGCTTTTAATTCCTTACAACCACCAAGTGATAGATATTCCAAATTTTGCAACTTGTAAATGGAACTGGGAGGTCTTTTATTAGGGTTGTTCCCTAGATGAAGATATCTCAAATGCTTCAAAGTACCAATATTTTTAGGCACTACTTCAATATTTAAAAATCGTAGTCTAACATCCGCAAGAATTTGCACCTTGAGACGATTAATTCCAAAATGAGGCCAATATCAATACTTTTACCAGGTGTTGGATAAAAAGTATATGCTTCTCGAGGACCCAAGTTGGTAAAATTGTTGAAACATCTATTAGGTACATCAAGACAATGAAATGATAAGTGTCGATGACTTTGGTACAAATTTGGTTAGTGGATTTCACTATTAAGCACTCATTTCTCATCAATAATGTGGCAAGATCATGATGAGATCATGAATTTTAAACACGTACAAATTCTCGTGATGTGTACAATATCTTGGAAAAAAGATCTCAACACCAATTCTTTATATATATGCATACAATATTTTCCAATCTTGATTTTCATTGTGGGATTGAAGAAGCCCATAGGCCATCCAAAACTGAACCAAATGAGCATTATCAAAGTATAGTCTTTTGGCAAAATGGAACAATAACAAAACATTGTTCAAGTGAGGTGGAAGATGATTATAACTTATTTTAGAGCATTTAAAATGTCATTTTCATTTTGATCCAACTTCCAAATCTCATTATCCCTCAAATTTTTCCAATCCTGTTCAAAAATTGAGGAATAAAGTAGACTTCCTAACGCTCTACTGCCAATGGAAAACTCCACATTTTTTTACAATTTCTATTCCAATTTCCACAAGGTTGGGATGTTGCTTTTCTTGCCCTTCTTTAAATGCATATTAACAAACACTAACAAACAGTCGTCAAGAGAAAGACCTTCTAACTGTTGTAGGTATAGTGCCCATAATTGAGGCAACACGATCACTACGTATAGTTACGATAATTTTACTTCCATAACACATTCCATCAATAAATTTTTAATTCAAACCACAACCAATATCTTCATTCCAAACATCATCCAAAACTAACAAATATTTTTCATGGCTTAAGATATCACGTAGAATTCTTTGCAACTGGTCTATACTCGTGAATATTTTTTGCCCAGTTGCAGATTGGATGATGTCAATTAATAGTTTTTTTTTAAACAAACTCATCTGACACAACATACCCACATTTTCAACTTAAATATTCCTCCAACATTTTATCATTATACACCAATTTGGCAAGTGTGGTTTTTCCTAGGCCTCTAACCAACAATAGGAATGACAGAAACATTTTCATGGCCATAACTTGGACGTAATAGTAATTTCATAATCTTCTCTTTATCTTTATCCCTACCAATAACATCTGAAGCAAGCACAAATGAGTGAGTTTCCCTCTCCCTCTCCAACCAATAACATGATTGCTATCAACTTTCTCAGTGAGATTAAAATTATCTATCAACTGCTATTTTGCTAACCTCTTTTTGATCTTCTTGATTTTATGCCCCAACGTAAAACGGAATGCAACTGAATTTGAAGATGAAAAAAAGCGGCGTACCTTTCTAGTACTACTTTGACTATTCACCACCTGTTCACGCAAATCTTCCACCTCATTCGTCTAAAACATCTTCGGATCGTAGCAGATTTCTTAAGCTTTCCCAGCCAAACTTGAGCTCTCATTATGGATCTGTTTGTCCTCAGCATCTAAGAGAACAGCTTTGATAGTGGTTAAGGTGTCAACAAGCTCCTTGGCATCTTTTGGACACCCCATGCCAAGCCCATTTTATTGGAAGCAAGGGAGAATAGCTTACCCAAGAGTTCTCAGCAATAACAGAGACGATTGTTTCTGCCATATCTTTGAAAGAAAAAGAAAGTTGCAGGATTTTGTGTGTGAAGTAGTGAAGCAGAGTTGTATGAAATAATGATAAGCGAGCATCTGCATATTTCTTCTTTATTGAATTAATTATGGACATACGCTTCCACACGCAATTACATCATCACTTTGACCAAAGAAATTCTGACACGTCGCATTTGCAACTTGCAAGCTTGCTTAGATAGCTGTATGAAACCAATTGGAATCGAACACAGTATGAATAAATCAGGCAAGAGACACGTGGCATAATCAGATCACTGACCCATTATATGGGAATTGGGGGCCACCCTTTGTCACAATTAATAAATTCAAGGGCCAAAAAAATAATTATAAAGGATTTTGCTTTTCTGTTTTTTTGTTTTTTTCTGGTAGCATTGTGAACGGACGAACATGCCAGGTGGTGTCATCACCACCGTTCTAATGTTAAAGTGGAAAGCTAAGTAAGGAACACGATTCCTTCTCTGATTTTATAATCCTAAACCTAACAATTAAAACATTACTTCATTTAACACTATTATAAATTAGAAAATTTATGTTGTTTCACTGCTCTTAAATTTAATCTTATTTTATTAATTTAAATATTTAGATTTTTAAAACTTTAGGTTATTAATTTGATTAAATACCCTTAACAATAAAAAGTTTATGAATTGCTGAAAATATCTTCACTCATCCATATATTCTTGACAACCATGGCCGATTGTCGACATTTAATGAGTGAGTGAGAATATTTGTTAATTTTAAAACTTTTACTATAAAGGGTGTTTAACTAAATTAACAAATATAAAAGATTAAAAATAATATTACCAAACACATTTTTAAATTTAAACAACTTTTCAAAGATACTATTTAAAAATAATAAAAATATGTGTCTGTTACAAAATATTAACTTTTTCAAATTATATATTTATACCAGTGATTTGTCTACACAATAAAAATTTCTTACAGAATAGTCAACAATATAATCCGAATGCTTAAATCCAATAAATCTAAAGAAAACATTTACTATCATTCACATGACACATTTTGATATTAGAAGTATTTTTAATTGAAATTATTATAAGTTACAAAATTCATTTTTTACGTAATAGAGAAATGAGTTGACATTATTTATACAGTGATTTGCTTACACAATCAATTAAAACATCACTTATATGAAATGGTGTCACTTCAACTTTTTAACTTACTTTTTAGAGAGAATATATATGAGTTATACTCCTATATGGCCGATGAGGTCAAGTTATAAAGAATGGATGGTACAGAGTTTCGTTCAAATTTCTTGCAGAATAATTCGACAGATTAAGTCAACAATATAATCAGCATGCGTAGTATTGTCCTCACTGAAAATGCAACTTGGTCATCTCGGGTTCCACGCTGGCTTTTTTCTCATTTTCTCACCTTTGTTTTTGACTTTTTTCGACACGACTCCTCCACCGGTGATGTGTTTTACTTTCACATGCTGAATTCAACTAAACTGTGGGCTTCACTTAAGGTCCTTGACTGGCTCTTTTCTGATGATAATAACATCATCTTAGAATGGTAAACGACATATTCCCACCCAAGGTTTGACGAAACCAGATGAGTACCACAGATTTCATTTATTCCATATTCACACCTTAAAGTAACAGTGTATGAACTTTTAGGGTTTAAGACATGCAATTACCATAAGCCCTAACCCTAAATTAATAAATTATGTTTAACCCCTAATTTATTAGAATTATAAAACTTACTATTTTATTTTAAATTATATCAAAAACACCCCGGTCATTCAACACCTCATCGGAAACAGCCCGATCTGGGCTGTTTCCGCTACGTCGAACGTCCTGGCACTCCAACCTTCTCCGTATTCACGTCCAAAACCCCTCTCATTCCTACTCATTTGCCCTCCAATCGCCAGCACACGTTAGACTTAGGGTTTTGACGTTCTTCACCGGATTCGGTCGATTCCGGCGGTGAAAATCCAATTGGACACCACCAATGAAACCACCGTATCCAGATCTAAATTCCCCATGTCCCCAGTAGCGTCTCGTCGTCATTCGCCGGCCGAGAGTTCGTGTTCTTCGGCGTTTTTC